TTTCAAGACTTTTCCCCTTTCGGGTGCTGTAGGGAGAGGCCACACAGACTACCTACTCTGCTCCCAAAATGGGGCCTCGAGAAACCAAAGGGAGCAGTCTATCTGTCCCACGGCGCCTCAGGCTGCTTCAGAGTGGGCAGCAGCAGGGCTAGGCTGGGGCAGGAGGCCGGGAAGCAGGGCAGCCTGATTCTGCATATGGCAGCAGCCGCCTTCTGCCTGGGTGGTCTTCAGTGACTATGGTTGCAGCCACTTGAAAAACACAGAGGAGGCAAGGCCTCCACTTTCCTCTCAGTGAGCCAGGATGGCACCACAGGATTGGACCCCGGGCAGAGACGTGCCACTACCTGGACAGCTGGAAACCCGCAGAAGTGCCTGTGTTCCCCCATGCGACCTTGGCTGCGGATTGTTGGTGGGAGAAGTGGGGGGTGGGTTGGCCCTCTGCCTCCTCGTGCAAACAGGACTCGCAGCCCAGCCCCACAATGCATGGATCTCGGCAGGCTCCCTCAGCTCTGCCTCAATGGAAATTCCCCCGCCAGGTGGATGGGAGGAACCAACCCCTGCCTGGCTCCACACCGCAGGAGCTGGGGGTTAACCACTCTCCCCCGCACTGGGGCCTTCTCCCCCTGTCTGCTCCACACCACATGGGCCAGCAGTTAACCCCTCCCCCATATGCTGCCCAACTCCCCAACAGGCTCCTTCTTCCCCCCTCCCCCACTGGCCCCTGAGGCATCGCAAAGGGACGGCCCAGCAGCATTCGGAGTAGTTGCCAACCCTTGCTGGTTAGGTTGCCCATTGTTGGAGAGGGCAAGGTCTGCGTGGGGAGAGAGAAAGAAGGATAGTGTTATGTGGGGATGGGAGGTGCAGTAAACAGTGATGGTCGGGGTGAGGAGGATATAGGAATGGAGGCAGGGGAATGGGCAGTGTGGGGTATGCAGAGGGGGTTACGGAGGATGGTGGGTGTGTGAATGGAGGCAAGGATATGGAGTATAGGGATGGAAGGAGGGGAGTGGGCTGTGGGACAGGGAGCTCTCCTCCCCACAGCAGGGCACACGGTTCCCCGCAAGCTGAATCCAGTGTGGAGCCTCGGGGTCTCCTCCTCTCCTCCCTCCCTCGCAGGAAACCAGCACTGGCTGGAGTGTCAGGCAGGCAGCGGCCCGGGCATGGGCCAGGCGAAGACAGCGGTTCCCCACTGTGTCCCAGAGCTGTGGGCCCCCAGAGTGCAGCAAGGAGCTGCCACTTCCACTGCCCCCTGGCTTGGCTCTGGACCTCCTCCAGCAGCTGGAGGAGGGGGGCGAGAGACTGGGGCTGCAACAGAAGAAGAATGCAGAGGTCTGGGGGGTGAATTAAGATTCAAGTATCTTAAAAAAAATAATTTTTTTGTTTATTTTTATATATTAAGATTCTTTAGCCCAAACCAAAAAAGATTACTATTTATACTACTTGTCCTTTTCTAAATGTGAATGGAAGTGTAAAAGTGGTGCTATCTTTATTTTAAAAAGTATTGTTACTCTACATATTTCTCTGTTTCTATGATTAACTTAGATTGAAACAAAGCAACCCCCCCCCGCACACAACTTTGTCATTAATAACAATATTGACCAAAAGATTGATTTTCATAAAGTAAAATTGTTCTGGGCCTCCAAACTGTTCATTCCAATTAGTACTGTTTGTGATGTAAACAGAACATATTCTTGTAGAAACATTACGCAGTTATAAAAAAAAAAAAAACACAGAGTATTTTGACTGGTAAAGCCAGAACATTCTGGGTGTCCCAGAAGATGTTCTTGGGACAGTACGATATCACTAAAAAGGCCAAAACTGTCATGGGAAAACAAGACATTTGGCCACTTTTTGTAAGATTATGCTAGCATGTATTCCCATGTCCAGGCTTAGCATTTTCTGGCTTTCAAACACTGGCTATTTTAATAACATTCTAACATTCTAACTAGATTTTCTCTTCATAATATCTTTATAATTTTAGCTCTGTCTTACCAAAGTTGTGTGTGGGGGGGTGTTGTGTTTCAATCTAAGGCAGCGGAAAAAGGCTGCCTTCGCTTGGCCCATGCCCGGGCCGCTGCCTGCCTGACGCTCCAGCCAGCGCTGGTTTCCTGAGAGGGAGGAAGGAGAGGAGGAAACCCCAAGGAAATTGTATGGGCACTGTGGGTCAAATTCAGCAGTTCCTTATCTTACACAAAACACCTACTCATGGCAGCATTTGGCATTATATAATTAATCTATGCTTTAAATGTGATACACAAAAATTAGACAAAGCCATCAGACTGAACTATAAATGCATGTTCAAAAGCTTCAGAGGATAGCTGAGTTAGTCTGTACAGGATAAACTTAAAAAACAACAAATAATCTGGTAGCATTTCAAAGACTAACAAAACATGTAGATGGTATCATGAGCTTTCGTGGGCACAGCCCATTTCTTCAGATGTTGGATGTCCAGAACTAAAATAAATAGGAGAGAAGGGAAAAGAAGTCTTTAGGTGCTTATAGGCTATTTGTTTTTCCTGCTACATTCCAGCTTGGCTTTCCCCTTGATACTTTTATACTCACTGCCTCTTCTTGTTTCCCCCCCCCCCACACACACACACACACACACTTCCATTTTTTTCCTTTCCCCCCTCTCTCCCCTTCTCCCCTATTTATTTTAGTTCTGGACATCCAACACTCTGGTCATCTGAAGAAGTGGGCTGTGCCCACGAAAGCTCATGATACCATCTACATGTTGTATTAGTCTTTAACGTGCTCCCAGACTATTTGTTGTTTTTTAAGTTTATAAATGCATGATTACCTTTTCTCTTATCTTGATATTTCTATAATTTTCTAAATAACATGAAAGGAATACATGATGGATTTGAGAAAAAATATAGAATGATAGAAAACAAACAAACCCCCACAAATTCTTATTCATGAGACTAATGAGTTATAAAATAAATATATTTTGGCTAATCAGACCAGGATTCTAGTTCTACATAACTGATAATATGATAACAAATCTTTTTGAAAGTATTGTATATATAGAAAAGTTAGCGTACCTTTTGTTTCTAAAGAGGAAACATCATCACCACTGGAAGACAAACAATAGGTATGTCAGTAACATATGTTCATATTTTTCTGTTACTGCAGCCAACAAGTGACCAGTCTACAACATGGTATTTTAGAAGAAATATTTGTATCTCCTGGGATGTGCCAGGAAAATGGGATGTGCCAGGAATGGGATTGCTTCTCATAATCCAAAAATCAAAATGAAAAATAACTAGCTAAACACCCTGATAATCTGAAGAGTATTTTAATCCTACAAAACCTCACAGAATAATTTAGCCTCCTCTGGACTGTAATGCTTGTTTTAAGTCTGATCGTGAGCTTGGTATTAAGTGTCTTGTTTAGTGGCCTGCGACGTCAGACTCAATGATCTAGTGATCCCTTCTAGCATTATACTTAATGATGCCATGTCAGTAATCTCACTGGGGAAATATTTACATAAGTAAAATCTATTTTGTAAGTATTTTCAGGATCAGAAATTAACATAGTAAAAAGACCAACTAGCTGTGAGTGTTGACTATTATGAAGAGAAAAAAAGTGTAAAAGATATTGAGGTAATTCAATCTATCCATGCTTTAAAAGCTTCTACAGTATAACAATTGTCTTTAAAAATTTGCTTTTACTGAAACATTAAGAATTTGCATATAAAATGGAAGAATGTAGATATCATCTACTATATACTTGAGAGAGTTTGTCTGTCTCTCTGTCTGTTTATTCAAGAACTCCTCCTAGACGGTAAGAACTAGGACCATCAAATTCGGTATACAGTTTCCTCTTACCATAACTTAAAGCAATGTAAGGGTTTTCTTGTGCCAGGAAAATGGGATGTGCCAGGAAAATAGGATTGCTTCTCATAAAACCATGCAGAAACTAGACAGACTCACTGGACAGATGAAAGGGGTTGGCTGGGAATCCCCCCTCCCATTCCAGGACTGCTCTGAGCCTCCCACCCCACAGGTGCCCTTTAAGGGTGTGAGGTAGCTGATGCTCCCCCTCAGATTTGTACAGGGATGTTGCGGGCTGTTCACCTTCCTCAGGGAGCGAGGGGAATGTGCACAGTTTGCTTCATTCCTCATTCTGGCTGGGGAGTACAGGAGGCAGATGAGCTGCAAACTCTGCTCTTATTTCCTGACAGAGACAGGAAGGAGAAGATCAGCCTTTGTACGAATCTTGGAAATAGCGTTTTGCTATTTCAAAATAGCACATCCACACTGAGTGGACGCTGAATAGCATTTAAGGACGGCCAGAACCAGGTCCGGCAGGGCATCAAGTCAAAAATTACTTCGTGTGGCTGCTGCCTGAGGCTATTTGAGGCCTGTGCTTAAAGGGACCCCTCCCCCCGGATAGCCGATTCTCAACTTTCCTTGCTTGCTTGCCTACCTTGATGAGGGACAGCAAAGCATTTTGTCTCTGCATGCTCTGGTTGCCCTCACTCGGAACACCACAACACTCTGCAATATGGAGCCAGATCTGTCCCTGGGCACTCTGGTGCTTCTCATGGACATGTTGCTGCAAGCCTGGCTGCACTTTCTGCAGGCTGCCATTCGGGGGGCAGTCAGTATCCAGGAGGCCCTGTGGGAGAGCTTCCACCCTGAGGAGCACTGAGAACCTCCCTGGTCTGCCCCACTGGGTGCTTGTGCTTCATTCCTCCCTCACGTCCTTCCACTTACCCCTGCCAACCCCCCTTCCTGATGTCAAATAAAATACAAGTTTTTTCATAAACACAAACCGTCTTTATTTAACAAAACTGGGGGGGGATGAAACTCTGGTGAGACTGGGGAAAGGAGGCAGGAGAGGGGAGAAGAGAGGGTGGGAGAGGGGAGGGGGAAACCTGGGAAGAAGGAGCTGGAAGTGGGAAGCAAGGGGAAAAAGGAGGAGGGAAAGCTCAGGAGTCAGGGGTGGGGATCTCACCGGACCAACTTCATGCAAACCTGCTCCTGGGTTTGCATGTGGCCTTTGGTGGCCAGACTGACAGCTATCCTGCCATAGACCGACGCA